AGTAGGAAATATCATACTCCGTACATGATACATTATACATATATGAATCGAAGAGGTAAGACTTTCTAAAAGTCAACTCTGATTGTGCAACGGGGTAGGCTAAGTCTACTGTTGAAAAAAGGGTAGCCTGTAGGGAAAGATATGATATCGATTTCCAAACTTTCTACCTGGAACATACGAAGTATTGATAAAAACTATGACATGCTCTAAGCTTGTTGGTTGTTACAATGTACAAATGTATTCAACTATGGGTCCTTTAAGACTTTAGTAAGCACACCAGCTTGTTGATCTTTTGAGCAAAATTAATTGACAAAATTTTATAAATTTCATAGAAGTATACAACGTATAAGCTAAAAGACCTCTTTCTTTTGAAGATGAAGAAGATATGAGAGTCGAAGCTATGATAGGGATAAAAACCACGATTTACAGAAAGAAAAAAAAAACAATATTTATCCAAACTAGCAAAACGAATCACATTTCCATGCCTATAAACTTAAATCATTGTTTATAACCTCAACTGTAACCACAAGCAACGTACAACAGACTGAATCCTAAATGTATGTCTAAAAAATCTATAAACAAAATCTAAACTAGTTGATTTTGCTTCCATCAACAGATCAGGCGGCTGAAAGTGAAAGCAAAATTCTAATTCGATAGTACTTTTCTAAAGAAAAATGGGAAAACTTATTGGAAGAGGAGATGGATGATGATGCAGGAACTAATTTTAACCTTTCAGACAAAGAAATTGAAATTAGAGACGATGACACCTACCTTGAATTGAGATCGTGGATTTTCGTTTTTCCGGCCCTTTCCTGGTTTCTTCACCTCCCAGAGACCATGACGTCTCTCGCAGCTAGCCTTCCTTCAGCGTAAAATAATAAGGTTGAGCCGTTGAGGTCTTGAGGACAGGGGAGGGACTTCTATGCAATAAAAGTATTTTTAATAAGGAGTAATAAAAAAGATGAGTTGGATTAAATTACCAATCAGATGTTACTACACGTGGAATGCACCAAAACGGATCCGGAACCTCTGCCTTGATTTGCAGCAAGGTAGGGTGCCCGGCCTATTAGGGGCGTCGGATCAAGAAACCAACGGCAACCGATCTTCGTGGACCGCATCTCGAGGCGCCTCCTTCCACATCTGGCCGTCCGTGGCCGCAAGACACCTCTGCCGCACTGCAGAGGATCTGAATCCCACCAAAACATCCTCTAAAGCATGTGCACCGAAAAAATTTCCTAATAATAATACTACCCATTTAGTTATCCGTGAACCTAGACAAATTTTTGAGTAAATGTAAAACAATTTTCTCCAACTAAATGTGTAGATTTACTTTCATACGAGTTTAGTTACGGATAATTGAAGTGGCGGCAACTTTTTGGGAGAACTTCAAGATACAAAAATTCGTTACAATTTTTTTTTAAAACCCGGTAAGAAAACCATCAAAATCAGTGGGGCAAACGCCGGAGAACGTTTGCCGATGTTTTATTAATTAATCAAAAATAATACATGAGAGAGGGGGACCAAGCCAATACCTCTGATGTAAGTTTTCTCGCACTTAAAAAGATTGTAATATAGTAGTGTAAGTACGAGTATCGTCTCCGCCGTTTCATCCCACCGCCGCAGCGCGCGTAGGGGAGAACTCCGAGACGAGATCAATGCGAATAGACAGGCCCGAAGAGATCACCGATCTCCATTGCGTACCCAAGCAGGTCACAACAATGAAGACCTCAGGAGGAGACTAGACAGGCTCAGAAGGGAGATGGATGGCAGGACCGATCTCAATCATGATGTAAGGATTCCTGAGCCTTTCACCCGCCAAATTATGGAGGCACCATTACCACAAGGGTACAGACCATGCAATATTGAGGCTTACCGAGGAAAAATAGACCCCCAACATCATGTCTCCAGATACGTGGCTTATATGGTTATGATGGGGTATGATGATGCCATCAAGTGCATAGGATTGTAGGTGACCCTAGATGGGCCAGCCCGGGAGTGGTATGATTCCTTACGAAATGGGAGAATAAGGAACTTTTGTGAATTGGAACATGCATTCGTAGCACGTTTTGCCACCTCCAAAGATTCCAAGAAAAATGTCTCTCACCTCTTGGGAATCAAACAGGGCTCCCAAGAAGCCCTGGTTGATTTCCTGGTCCGCTGGAGGGATGAGTCAGTGAAGGTAGAGGACCTAGACGGCAAATCTGCTGTGGCTATTCTCACCAATGCCCCGAGGTCGGGTGAGTTATACAAAGATTTCATACATAAGCCCCCGACTTCGCATGAGGAAGCCTTACTGCGTGCAAACGCGCAAGCTGGGGTAGAGGAAGTTGAGAAGCAGAAGAGAGATGAAGAGACTGGTACACTCCAACCCGATGAGGGAAGGAGGAAAAGTTCAGAAAAAGAAGTCCATGACTAAGACAAAGGGAATGGGTTCAAAAGCAGAAGAAGGGCTGGGGAAAGGGCAAATCAAGTGTCCCAGATGGACCGCTGTCTGGTCAGCCTGAATTCCCAATCAGCATAGTTTTAGATTACGCAACTAAGCAGGGGATGATAACCATCCCTGAGGGATGTAACATCGTCAACAGTCAATCTTCTAAAGGTAAGTATTGCAAAATCCACAAAAGCGATATTCACGAGACTGACGATTGTTATGTCCCGAAGAAGTACGTGGAAAAACTTGCCCGCGAAGGACAACTTGATCAGTTCATGAAAACGCTCCAGCAGGGTCAGACCCCTCAAAAGAAGAACATCTGGAATAAGGAGAAAGACGAGCCGGCCTCGACCTCCAAAAAGAGAGAGGTTGGAGCCCAGTTCGAGGATGATGACGAGAGGGAAGACTCAGGCCGGCAAAAGAGTTCGCATGTCAACCAAATCCACGGCGAACCTGTAGGCGGAGACACGGCGGCAAAGAAAGAATTGGAATCGCGCAAAATCAACTGCTTTCCGGCTGACAATAAACAGAAACGGGAATCCATTATCTTCACCGATGATGATTTGCCACCATGTCCTCCGCCTCACAGGGATGTGCTGATGATCAAGATGGAGGTTCTTGATACGATTGTCCATAGAGTTCTTGTGGACAATGGTAACTCAGTAAACATAATGTACTTGGAAACCCCCTAGGAGATCGGCCTTCAAAAGGCAGACCTCAAACCTGTTAAAACTCTCCTTTCAGGTTTTATCGAGGACACAATTGAGCCAGAAGGGGTTATCACCCTCAAGATCCAGCTCGGATCAGAACTATGTGTGCAGACGGTTGAAACAGACTTTGTGATAGTTCAGTTACCCATGTTAAGCTTTGATGTTCCATCTTAAAACGTCAACATGATAAGAGAAGTAGCTCCGATCTTAATGTAGTGTTTGATTGTTTCATATATATCCGGTGTGAGACTTTAACAAAATGTAATAAATTAGAGAATATCCCAAATAAAAAAGTCATTCATATACACTTTTACTGTTTACATACTTTTGCATACTATATGTGAAAGTCTTTTTCTGTCTGTCATAGAAAAAGCTTGTTTTGTTTATGAACAATAAATAATTCGATATACGCAATATAAACAATAAAATGTGTATAATAAGAATTGTATATATCACCAAAAAAAAAGAATTGTATAAAAATGATCAAGATGACAAAGAATTCCAGTTTGATGATAGGCAACGGAAGGATGGAGGGACGTACCACGCACTTATCGTGTTACCGATAACTTATCCATCAACGATATCATCACACCAACCTGGCTTATCCGGTATGATCCAAAAAGACGCCGTGGTTGGTTTTAAATCAAATCAAAGCTACGCAAGTCTTTCAATTTCTGTGAAGGTAAAAATAACAATTTGGATTTATTTAATACAACCTCCTTTTCCTGAATTTTCTTCCAAAATAAAGTGGCACGCGGATTAAGGAAGTGAGAATTGTGTGGTAGAGAGTTATGTAAATGAGAGAGAAATAATGTGAACCACAAATTCTTTGTCAAAAAGAGAAAGTGAAGTTCTTTTTGAGGCCATGCCAGGCTGTAAATACCGTACCCTTTGTCTCTGTATCCCTTCCTCGACAACGATAGGCTTGACACTTTTGTTTCTGGAGATGGCAATTCATGTCTGAATACATCAATACATGCACGTGAAAACGGCATCACAATTTGAGTTTTACACATGCTTGATAGGTTAGAGTGACATGTCTTCGTAACAAAACAGTTGAAAAGTGATAAAAGTGAGACCATTCAACGAAGCAGCCCCTCCATCTTGTTAAGATTGTCCCATTTTACCTTTTCAGGAAGTTCTACTAAAATTGTTTCATACCAAATTTTGTAAAGTTTGTGTGGCTCTAATCCATTCTTATTTTATTCTTACTTTATCAATTTAATATCTACCACACAAACCCATTTTTCTTAATAATTGTGTCACCTTCTCTTGTTCCAATCTTAGTGGGACGGAAGTAGTAATGAACAATTTGTTACCGGTATAACGATATTGTATTACTACGTATAATATATGTGTACCACTAGTATAGGCAAGTGCTCAAATGAGAGTATGAGATTGAATAGGTATAAATAATTTTTTAGAAACATTTTAACATACGAAGTATGCAGTAAAACTTTTTACAATTATATTTAACTTTTTTTTTTTTAATTCATGGTGATATCATGCCCCCTAGCTCCATCCGTGAGTTATCAAACTACATACCCATTAAGAGCATGGTAATATCGGTTGATTTTGCAAAAAAGTTTTGAAATTCTGAAGTGACTTGATTGATTCTGCTGATTATGAAAAAAATTATATTTAAAATATATTTTATTAATAAAATAAAGAAAAAATTATATAAAAATAACTAAAATGATTATCTACAGTAACGACTTCAACCAATACAAGCAAAAAAGTTGTTTCAACTTTATTTTTCTTATTATTACACAATTCAACGCGCGAAACGAAAATGTACATTTTACTTACGTGGTCGCGCAGGGTTCAACTAACGGAAGACTGCCGTTTTCTCCCCACTCTTTCGGCCAACGCTACAAACGAATTCCCGGAAATAGCATCCTAGCGTGTGAAACGATTACAAGTTGGGCTGATGGACGCACCAAAAATATCTCTGACACGATTACAAGTTGAACCGCTCGATCTCTGTACGCCTTATCCTTTTTACTGTTTGGGAATTTCGCGTCTGACTACTACAAGATGGTGGGGGTCATTTCATTTCATCATTTCGTTCTTCCCAGCTCTGCGCCTGCGTTTTCTTGCTTCTGCTTGGCCAACTCTTTGCTTGTTCTTCAGAAACTGTGAGTTATTTTGCTGTTTGTTTTAAACAATGTTTCCGCTGCATGAATAGCCCTCTGTGGCCCTTTTGTTTTAAACAATGTTTCCGCTGCATTATGAATTACTTATTATATTTGTTTATGGATGTTATATGTGTGAATGATATTCAAGACGCTTTGTATAATATGAATGAGTTGGACTGCGGTCGACTATTTGTATTGTACGGCGGGTTGTTGACGTATCCGGGGAGGCATCATTGGGAAATCTTGGATTTATTATGGCAAATTGTTAAGATGAAATTGTTGCCCTTTTTTATAACAAGTGGAATCTCAAGTAAGCGGAATCTATATTCAAAAGGATGGGTCACAAACTTATTAGATATCTCAGTGGATGGTATCTAATAAGTTGTTCTACCTACTATTGGATTCAAACCAATGACTCCCGCCGTATGAAATCACCATTCACCCTCCACCAAATGGACGTCAAGACCACCTTCTTGAATGACTATCTAAAGGAAGAGGTATATGTAGAACAACCACCGGGCTTTGAGAATCAAGATTTTACTAATCATGTCTTCAAACTAGATAAAGCACTTTGTGGGCTCAAACAAGCACCTCGTGCTTGGTATGAGCGCCTATCTAAGTTTCTTTTAGAAAATGGTTTTGAAAGAGGAAAAATAGATAAAATCCTTTTTCTAAAAATAAAAGATCAAGCCCTACTGGTTGATCAAGTTTATGTTGATGATATTATTTTTGGTGCCACTAACCATTCTCTTTGTGTTTAGTTTTTGTCTCTTATGAGTTCCGAATTTAAGATGAGCATGATGGGGGAATTAAATTTCTTCCTCGGACTACAAATCAAGCAAACTAGCCAAGGAACTCAAATATCACAACAAAAGTACCTCAAGGAACTACTAAAGAAGTACAGGATCAGTGAAGGCAAAACCATGACTACACCTATGAGAACAAATGATAGGCTGGATGCGGATGAACAAGGAAAGAACATAGACCAAAAGATGGATCTAAATGCATGTGCGGCCATATTTAATTGTACTTCGTATGACTTTGCCTTTATACTACTCTATAACATCAAGGTCAACTTTTCATTTTCAAGTGTTACTAAATGATCTTGTGACTCCTAAACATTTTGATCATATCCTCAATAATTTTAAAACTAATACACTATTACATCTATTTTTTTTGGATTTATTCTTCATTCCATCACACAATTTTATTATCTTAAGCCAAAAATAACTGCATGTACCGAATTTTTTTATCACCTCCGTCTCACCCAACTTTGCCAAGTTGATCTTGGATGGGAAATTAAAATAGTTTAATGTTAGTCTTTTGAGTGTATTTTAATTACAATGTAAATTAAATGATGTAAGTTTGTTGCACTCCTAAAAATTGTTACGTTCTAATACCACCCTTTCTTGTAATTAAACTTCTAGAATTTGTGTACCACCGACTTATTAGTTATTACAACTACTCTTCGGGCGATTTAGAATCCAATCTAACCAAGGCCGGATAATTAACGCATAGCGCAATTAACAGAAGTGCTAATTAATGCATATACGGCCACTCTTTTTGTATTATTTAATTTATTAATTGCACTTCGTATAACCTTATCTTTAAACACATATATCTAATTTAATATCAGTGGAGCCTTTTGTAAATCAGTAAATGATAGATCGAGTAGGAGTAGGAACCTATTACGTGCCAAGAAAGTATAATTAATAAGTATATATATGATCAAATAGTGTCTAATTATAGAATTCCTTAAACCTAGCTTCTTTAGTGTTCGAAACCGATACTAGCTTCTTTAATTGTTTTTTCATCTCTCCTCAATTCGGACGTAGGCATGGCCTGCAGAAGTTTGGAAGGCATTAGTTGCAGTAAAGAGGAAGAAGATGAATATGGGTGGAAGAAAAATCTTCCGCCGGGAATGGCTTTTATCCCGACGGATGAAGAACTCATCACTCTTTATCAGTGACGGACCCAAAAACTCGGAGCCATAGGGTCCCTACCCTTTTGTATCTCTAATTAATACTCCGTATAAAACTAATAAAAAAATATTAAAGAAACATTTATGCTCATCAAGCCAACTTGAAACAAATATATGTTTTTTGCCGCCAATTAGTTTAGAGGGGAAATCAAGATCCAGAGGTTGAAACGTTTCTTTTTTAAGGTAACTACGACGTACCTCGTCTTGAACATTAGGATGAAAATCAGTAATTTTTATTCTCAATACGAGATCCAAAGATTCAAAATCAACATGTTATTGACATAGATTACAAGTCAAGTTAATTTCACTTTCAGCAATTACTTGATCCAATTCTTCATTTACTAATGACGAATCATTTGAATTAATACATGAACTACTCTCAACCCTACGAATTTCTTTAAATTTAGGTACAACACTGAAATATCTTTTCATTCTAAATCATACAATATTGAAAATAACATTTATAAATACATAAATTTATTAATTTAATCTTAACATTGAAAGAAAGTTTAATAGTTAATCCAAAAAAAAAAAAAGATACCGGAAGAGAAACACTAAAAACATGGGTTCGTCTTGGTTTATTTGAAGAGAAATAATAAAAACATGGGCTCGTTTGGTTTATTTAATTTAAATCATTTCAAAAAAAAGCTGGGGGAGAATCGAACACAGTACCCCACAAAATGGAAAGACTCAAATGCGCCCACAATCCCAGTCCGCTATTTCTGTTATTTGGTTTTCTAGTCATGTGTTTGGTATATATACATTTCCTAATTAATTTTATATTTCTAAGAATATATATAATTTTTAGTATATATTTTTTCGAAGTCCACGGGGTCCCGGGACCCCATGGGACCCTTAGTGGGTCCGCCTATGCTCTTTATCTCTTACCCAAATCTTTAAACCTGAAACTTCATTCTGGGATTATCTCCGATCTTGATATTTATAAATATGAACCCCACCAACTTCAAGGTTAGGTTTATTATATTTTCTATAGTAAGTAAAATGCACATAGCGTTGCTATTTGAGGTGAGTTGAGCCCGATTGTTGGCAATTATAACATGGTCGGGCTAGCATATTTTGAGTTTGGCTCGAATTGAAATTCATTAAGGTTCAATCACGATTAGAACTTGAACTCGACTGGTTAAAAATCATTTATAGCTTGAATTGGGCTCGTTGAGATATTCCGGCTCGAGTTAGCTTGATCTCGAGCTTCGAAATTAACCCTATTAAATCTAGTTCAAGCCAAGATCGTTTACCATAATACTTCATATCATTAATCCTTTCATCTCTTATAATCTTATCATCTTGGCATTTAGAGCCGGTTTGATGACCCTATTTTTTGTTTTGTCAGACTTATCAGCCAACTTTTCTTCAAACGCGTAACATTTAATTTGCGCGCTGAATTGTGTAATAATTAAAAAAATGATGTTGAAGTTACTTTTATGTCTTTATTGCATGAAGTTACTGTAAATGATTATTTTGATTATTTTTCATACAATCTTTTCTTATTTTACTAATAAAAGGTATTTTAGATATTTTTTTCATAAATCAACAGAATCAATCAATTCAGTTTTTCAACCATAACTTCATACATTTCTGCAGAATCAACCAATTGAATCAATTTCACAGTTATCAAATGTGCTCTTAATTATTTAATTTGTGATTTCTATAATTTTTCTTTTTTCTTTATACAAATATCAATTTACTTTATTGTTCCACGGATGGGTTATCTTGACATTTTTTTTTTGGGTAAAACTTGACAAAAATTATAAATTGCGCATCAGCGACTGATGAAAAGGAGACTTGTGCGCGTTTTACTCGAGGTCGTAGGAATAGCTGTGGGGAAGTACGGCGTTACTCAAAGTAAGACGGCGTAATAAGCTACTACGGGGGTAATGGCGTATTATAAAACACAAAACTCCCCAATAAAGCCATCATATGTCTTCGTAGTACCAATCGCGTAACTACCCTACTCAATTTGTTGTATGCTACTCCGTATTTTGATTATTTTAGATGGGCTTCCAAGTCTTTTCCGCTTCGCCGGCCAGTAAATGGATCGGCTTTGTCACCGCCGTCTGGGTCCAGGCCATCTCCGGCAACAACTACACCTTCTCCAACTACTCCGACGCCCTCAAAAACCTTATGGCCCTAACTCAGCTCCAGCTCAACAATCTCTCCGTCGCGAAAGACGTCGGAAAAGCTTTCGGCCTCCTCGCCGGCATCGCTTCCGACCGACTATCCACCCCCGCCATTCTCCTCATCGGTTCCGTCGAAGGCTTCATCGGCTACGGCGTCCAGTGGCTCGTCGTCAGCCGCCGCATCCAGCCGCTGCCGTACTGGGCCATGTGCATATTCCTCTGTATGGGCGGCAACAGCACCACCTGGATGAACACCGCCATTCTCGTGACCTGCATCCGGAATTTCCGGAAAAACAGAGGCCCTGTTGCCGGGATTTTGAAAGGGTACGTCGGTTTGAGCACCGCCATCTTCACCGACATATGCTCCGCCCTGTTCGCCGACGACCCGGCGAAATTCCTGTTCATGCTCGCCACAATACCGTTCGTGGTCTGCATCGCCGCCATATTCCTCCTCCGCGAAATCCCGCCGTCGGCCACCGCGGAGGAAGAGAAGGACGAAGTGAAATACTTCGGAGTAGTCAACGTCATCGCCATCGTGATTGCGGTCTACCTTCTGGCATTCGACATAACAGGGCCTCACGGGCGCGTGTTCTCCAAACTCTTCGCCGCCGTTCTTCTGGTTCTCCTGGCCTCGCCTCTGTCAATTCCGATTTACATTAAAGTAAAAACTTGGGTCCGACCCGATTCAAGAATCGCCGTCGCCGACGAGGAAACGGACACCGCCGGCGAGCCTTTGCTGGTTGCGGAGGAAGTTGTGCCGGTGGGGAGGATTGGAGATCTGATAACGCCGGCGGGGGAGGAAGAGGTGAAGGCGGAGAAGAGGTTTCCGGTGATCGGAGAAGACCACACGATATTTGAGGCGATTAAAACGGTGGACTTCTGGATCTTGTTTGTGTCGTTTCTGTGCGGAGTGGGGACGGGTTTGGCGGTGATGAATAATATGGGGCAGGTGGGGTTGGCTCTGGGTTACGCCGACGTCTCCATCTTCGTGTCGCTGACCAGCATTTGGGGGTTTTTCGGCCGGATCCTCTCCGGTTCCGTCTCCGAATACTTCATCAAGTACGTTTTCTCCCTCCGTAATTTTTACGCAACTTTTTTCCTTCTTCTAAGTTAACGAATACATTACCCACCGTCTTCAACTTACCTTCTTCTTTTGACTTTGGTCATTGGGGAAAGTCCTAGTCACGTATACGTCCTTGTGAGTACGACACGTGGGTTTGTACAATAGTGTTCTTTTGACAACGTACAATTTCGACTGTAATTATATTTAATTATATATCAGTACGCATTATAAAAAGATGATATTTTGAAAATTCACATTGTTAGGAATTAAATAACATTTTATACATAATAATTTGATTATGTATATTAATAGAAAATCGTGATCAAAGTAAGGTCTGTGAATAGTGTAAAAATTACAATGTTGCAAGAATTAGAGAACATAGGAATTATTTTTTGGTATTAATCCATTATGAAAATAGAAATACAAACGTGGCCTTAGTCTTGAGCCCTGACCTCCAGGGGCGGAGCCAGGGGGGTCAAGGTGGTCAGCCGACCCCGCTGAAAGTTTGAGAGTATAGAGCTTTGAAATATCTTCGATTTGATATATTATGGCCCCCGTAACTCATTACGAGTACAAAGTTATGACTTCTGGAAAATCAGCACTGTCTAAACGTAAAATTAGCAAAATTTGATGCATAATATTGATTATTTTCCCAAATTTTATAAATAACGTATAATTAACTCGTTACTTACGTGACATGATTCAGAAACAGAGCAAAAACAATCTATTTTATTGCTTAAGAATGCTTTTTTATCTAAACTACAAATGAAATATTCAACCCGGACATTGTCTAAAAACGATCTACCATTTTTTCATTTTGTACGTACTTGATTTTCGACCCCCTGACCTGTTTTTCTAGCTCCGCCACTGCTGACCTCAATTTACTTTAAAATTTTGAATAATATTTCTTTCTAGTTTAGAGCTGATAGAAAGTAGAAATACAGAATAATTTAAATCCATTGAGTTTCATTAAAAAAAATTGGAATATCTAAAAAATTTTGTCATTCTTTTAATTAATTAATTTGTGATTTTAATGATTTCACCCTTCACTCCAACTACACAATTTTATTTTATTATTTTCTATGTCAATTAATCTTAACAAAGTTTAAGTGAAGGAGGGAACGGCTTTTGTGGGAAAATATACTGGTTTAAGTGAAGTACTTATGGAGAGAGTGGTTAAAATTGTACGAATTGTTTAGCAAATTCACTGAAAAAATACTTCCAATTTTGCTTATTTTTATTTCTACACAATTCCATAATTCATTACTAATAACAAAAATACTAGAAACAATTTAGTCAATAGTTCTCGTAAGCAAAAAATGCTATAGAGAACATAAAAACATACTCCCTCCGTAACATTCATATCTTCTCACTTTCCTTTTTTGGATGTAACATTTATATCTTTTCATTTCTAAATCTTCTCATTATACCCTCAATAATTTAAAAAACAATACACTATTACACCTACTTTTTTTGGATTTATCCTTCATTCCATCATACCCTCAATAATTTATATCCTCTTTCACTATTCTTAATCTCACCCACTTTTGAAGTGAGAAGATATATGTGATACGGAGGGAGTACTACGTATTAAGTTAAATTCAATCATTTGCGGTACGTACTGTATAGACTATTAAAAACACAGATATCCATCGCTTTTAATTAATCAGAATAGAACCAAAGTTTATCTCCGTCATAAATAACTCACTCCTTTCTGTTGGTGGGAAAAATATTGAATGTTTGATATACTGCGCTTGTACACACAAAACTAATACTCTCACTCCCGTTTCTAAAAAAAATTATT